TAGAGCCCATGAGCCACAACTACTGAGCCCGTGAGCCACAACTACTGAAGCCCACGTGCCTAGAGCCCGTGCTCCACAACAAGAGAAGCCACCGCAATGAGAAGCCTGCGCACCGCAACGAAGAGTAGCCCCCCCTCGCCGCAACTAGAGAAAGGCTGTGCACAGCAACGAGGACCCAACATAGCCAAAAATAATGAATAAATAAAAATTAAAAAGATAAAAACAAAACAAAACAAAAAAACTAAGCCAAGATAAACATAAAACCAAAAATAAATCAGATGCAGAAAGCAAACCCCATGTCTACAGTTGGTCCCAAAGTCCACCGCCTCAATTTTAGGAACATTTGTTGTCTATGCAGGTATCCCACAGATGCAAGGTTTATCAAGTTGATTGTGGGGATTTAATCCGCTGCTCCTGGGACTGCTGGGAGAGATTTCCCTTCCTCTTCTTCGTTTGCACAGCTCCTGGCGTTCAGGCTTGGTTTTGCCACCGCCTCTGTGTGTAGGCCGCCCTCAGGTGTCTGTTCCCCGCCCAGACAGGAGGGGGTTAAAGCAGTGTCTGATTCGGGCTCTCTTGCTCACTCAGGCCAGGGAGAGGGAGGGGTATGGCAGTCATAATTGGAATGCGGGATGAGCCTGTGGCGTCAGAGGCCGGCGTGACATTGTAGCAGCCTGAGGTGCACCATGTGTTCTCCCAGGAAAGTTGTCCCTGGGTCTCAGGACCCTGGCAGTAGCGCACTGCACTGGCTCCCAGGGGGCGTGTGGATAGTGACCTGAGCTTGCACACAGGATTCTTGGTGGCAGTGGCGGCAGTGTTCGCAGTTCATGCCTGTCTCTGGGGTCAGCTGATAGCCATGGCTTGTGACTATCTCTGGAGTTTGCTTAGGTGGGCCTCTGCTGTCTGTGGGCACATAGAGCAGGAATCCCGTCTCCTCGCGCACCCCAAAACAATGGTCTCTTGCCTCTTCGGCAGCTCCAGACTTTTCCCCGGACTCCCTCCCAGCTAGCTGTGGTGCACTAGCCCCCTGCAGGCTGTGCTCACGCCGCCAACCCCAGTCCTCTCCCTGCGCTCCGACCGAAGCCCAAGCCTCAGCTCCCAGCCCCGCCTGCCCCAGCGGGTGAGCAGACAAGCCTCTCGGCCTGGTGAGTGCCGGTCGGCACCGATCCTCTGTGCGGGAATCTCTCCGCTTTGCCCTCCGCACCCCTGTTGCTGCATTCTCCTCCATGGCTCCGAAGCTTCCCCCTCTGCCACCTGCAGTCTCCGCCAGTGAAGGAGCTTCCTAGTGTGTGGAAGCCTTTCCTCCTTCACAGCTCCCTCCCACTGGTGCAGGCCTGTCCCTATTCTTTTGTCTCTGTTTTTTTCTTTTTTCTTTTGCCCTACCCAGGTACGTGGGGGTTTTCTTGCCTTTTGGGAAGTCTGAGGTCTTCTGCCAGCATTCAGTAGGTGTTTTGTAGGAGATATTCCACATGTAGATGTATTTTTGACGTATTTGTGAGGAGGAAGGTGATCTCTACTTCTTACTCCTCCGCTATCTTGAAGGTCTCTCCCACTTAGTCTATTTAGACATGCCTTCCTTTCTCAAGAAAGGGGGAGTGTATCAACATGCAAATCGAGCTATATACATATGATTGAGCTGTATTGCATTTTAAACTTATCTGAGTTTGTGTTTGGAGATTCCTATCATATACACACACTTGCAAACAAACATAACTGGGAAATGTTGTTATCTGCTTTTAGAGATAAGGAGATGACAGTTGAGGAATTTCCAGTAAATGTCTTGAGGTCACACAGCTGGTGAGTAGACCTTCAGGATTCAGGTTTATCTCATGCCAAAGCCATACCCTCACCACTAACACAGTGGTCTCCAGTGGATTTGGTGGAATCCCTAGGGGTCACAGAGGTTTGCCATGGTTTGTCATGGATGGTTGGTTGTGAGTATGAGGCATGAAGGGACGGGTTTTTCCCCATGAGCCAAAGAAAGGCCTGGGATTAGTTCAAAGAGAATGTAAGGAGACCTCAAAATCAAGGATGAAGGACAACCAGCTCTTAAGGTGAACCAATAGTGAAGGGGTAACCCAGGACAAAGGCCCAGACACAGCAGGACTGCAAAGACAGATGGTGCCAGAAACAAGACGCCCCAGATATTTGTGCATTGACACTCGTGCTTTTGACATTCTCAGGGAGCCCTCGGGCTAACACCCCGACTCTGGCAATGGGGGAGTGTCTCAACATGCCAGTCGAGCTATATACATATAAGGTGTATTGCATTTTAAAGTTATCTGAGCTTGTGTTTGGAGATTCCTATCATATACACACACTCGCAAACAAACATAAGAAAAATGACATAAAAGAAACAGAAGATAATGTTCGCTAGGGATGTCCCAGAGTGATACAATTCTGAGGAATATTTTCAAATATTCTTCTTTCCATTTTCTGGGTTTTTACATGGTCCTCAATGAGTAAATCATAAAAAGGGGGAAAAACTAAGAAGAGTTGATATTTTTTCTAAAAAAGAACAGTAGTCATGAGGATTTTTCAAAGTCCCTTTTTACATATTCTGAGCTTTCCTCAATGAGTTTTATTAAACAGGAGAAAACACTCTCAAGGGAAATTTTTTTTGTTTATTTTTAGTTTAGCTTTTTTTTTTTTTTTTTCTTTAAGGAACCAAAAGCAGTTTCTGTAACTAGGTTGTTCAAATAGGTCTAACAAATCTTGTTATCAGAAATGGTCATCTGCCCATTTCCAGGCTGAGGACAGAACACTGTGTTTTCCCCGCAGACATCTCGCAAGCAGGGGAGGAGATCTTTGTGGGGTAAATAGACAGCAGCACCCATGAGAATCCAGCATCCCAGGCATGTGGCGGTTCTGGATCCACTCCCCACATCCCGCTCTCCCAGGCAGTTAATCTGTGATGCGCCCACATTTGGAGAAACCTTTCTTCGCATGGTTCTAGTACTCTGCATGGAGCTGTGGAACATGAGGCAGGAGGGAGGCGGGAGGACCTGTGTCATGATGCTGGGAGGGTTCTGCGCCCTCTGAAGACCAGTCTTCTCTCTGGGTCTCAGTTTTGATTCTGCAAAGGGAGGGACATGCCACCAGGGCTTCTGGGGTCATTTCTGCCTTTGACTCTGGGGGATTCTTTTCTTTTCTTTAATATTTATTTATTTATTTGCTGCACTTGGTCTTAGTTGGGGCACTCGGGATCTTCGTGGCGGCTTGCAGGATCTTTAGTTGCAGCATGAGGGCTCTTAGCTGCAGCATGCAGGATCTAGTTTTCTGAACATGGATCGAACCCCAGCCCCCTGCATTGGGAGCACAGAGTCTTAAACACTGGACCACCAGGGAAGTCGCTCTGTGGGATTCTGATTCGAGCCAGCTGTTCACCCCATATAGCTGTGCATCCACCGCCAGGGTCAGAACTCCCACCAGGGCCATGAGGCGCATCTCCTTGTCCGGCACAGGGTGCTGCTCTCAACAGGGCCGGGCGGACAGAATTAGTGCCCTGGGTCCCTCTGGGCAGAGGCTGCAGGGTCTCCAGGGGGGTTTCCTGGGCTACACTGTCCCTGAAGGGCCCCACAGCCAAGCAGACAGGAGGTGAGTCTGTCCAGCACTGGAAAGACAGATTGCTCAGAAACAGAGCCCTCCAACCAGGCCAAATACACAGGTACTATTTCTCCAGAAATAATTTTGGGGATAACGTTTGACTCTTTTGAAAGAAACGGTTGCACCAGCACTGAGGAAACTGACATTTGGGACGATTGATCACTTCTGTCCCCCCGCTTGTCCGAAGGCCTCTCCACCGGCCTCTGGATGAGACTCAGCTCAGCTCCCTCCCCTCCACCCCTCCCACCTCTCCCTCCTCTGCCCCTTTTCTCTCTCTCTTCCCTTCTCCTCCCCTCCCCCACACCACCCCAGCAGCCCTTTCTCCTCTGAACTCTGAGATGACGGGGCAGAGGCTGGAGGTAAACAGTCCTGTTTGCTGAGGCCTCCAGTTTAGACCTCAGTCTCTCCTGGAGGCTTCCAGGCAGTAGCTCTGTCTCCTATCCCCACGGATCACAGCTCTGGCTTGTAGGGTCCTAGAGAGGGTGGCATGTGGAGGAGATGACACCTCTGGAACTCCTCTTATGAACCCAGCACCTTCATACTTTATGTCACCTGAGCCATTCAACATGGACAGAGATGGGAACTGAGGCTCAGTCACTTGCTTGTCACACACAGCACTCACAAATGGCCAAAATGAAATCCTTGCCCAGGACTCTGAGCCCACCCGGCTTTCTCCCCACTAGGAGGCTTTTCCAAGCTTACGGTGGAATCAACCACCACGTGTCCACCTGCCGGGGGCTGAAAAGAACACTCTACTCTCCTTGTTCTTTACAGCAACACTGATCAGGGTCACTTAGGCTCCAGCGCTGGCCCCGCTGCTTGCGGTGGCGTCTCTCACTGAACCCTCACTGTGACCCGGCACCACGATGTGAGTGCCTCCCTAAGGCCACACGCTTGTCATCAAGAGGCCGGGAGAGGTGCTGTGTCCTCTGACTCAGTCCAGGGCTCCATCCTGGGGGGCAGACAGGGGACATAGTGGAAACGGAGCCCCTGCTGCCTAGTCCCCTCTGACGGTGGCTGCTCTCCCAGCAGGAGGGGGATGGGTTCTCACTGGAAAGCACCTCACACCCATCACCAGCTCCCCACTGGAGCCAGGCAACCCAGGCTTCTCACCCTCGCTCCTCTACTTCCTTGCTGGATGACCTTGGAAAAGCCCCTTTCCCTCTCTGTGCCCAGTTTCTCCATTGGGGAAATTGGTAACAATTACAAGACTTGCTTCAGAGGGTGAGAGAGAGCCCAAAGCCTCCTCATGTATGTTGGGAGCCCAGGAGGGTGCCTAGAACTGGGAGGTCACAAAGCAGCAGAGGCAGAGAGAACAGAGACCACGTGGGGACACTGGGTGGTCGTTGGGACATCATCGGACACACCGAGACTTAAAGGAGCTTTGCTTTTCAGAGATGAGGGCAGAGGGAATGTCCCCCCTCCTGGCTCTGGGGCTCCTGGTGGCTGGGTTGCGCTCCAGTGTCCACTGCCTCCCAGGGGGCGGGCTTGACCCGGAGGATGTGACCCCAGAGGACCAACACAAAGGGGCACCTGTGGACGACCACACATTCGTCTCCAGCAACACTGACTTCGCCTTCAGCCTCTACAAGCAGTTGGCTTTGAAGACCTCCAATGAGAACGTCATCTTCTCCCCCCTGAGCGTCTCCATGACCTTGGCCTTCCTGTCCCTGGGGGCCCATGGACCCACCCCGACAGAGACCCTGGAAGGCCTCAAGTTCAACCTCACAGAGACCCCCGAGACAGAAATCCACCAGGGCTTCCAGCACCTCGTGCAGACGCTCGGCCGACCCAGCGACCAGCTGCAGCTGAGCTTGGGCAACGCCATGTTCGTCCAGGAGCAGCTGAAGCTTCTGGACAAGTTCAGGGAAGATGCCCGGGCGCTGTGTGCCTCCGAGGCCTTCTCCACTGACTTCCGGGATTCCGACACTGCCAAGAAGCTCATCAATGACTATGTGAGGAATAAAACGCAGGGGAAAATTGTGGAGTTGTTCAAGGACCTTGACAAGCTCACATAGATGATGCTGGTGAATTACATCTTCTCTAAAGGTGGGTGGCCAGATTGGGGTTTGGGAAGATAAATGAAATTAGTTCTGAGGCTCCAGGACTATTTCTCTTCTGGCTCAGCCACATGTGTTGTTAGCAAACCATTACAGAAGGGGCTCCCCGTGGCTTAAGGGAGCTTAGGCACCAAGGCCCCGCCCCGACCATAGGCTTTGTCTACTTTAGCTTTATCCAAATTATACTTCACTTTACAGGACATAAGTGCAGAGGAGCCACTACTTTGTGTGAGGCAGAGAGAGGCTTTTTTCTGACTTGCCAAAAGAAGAAGCTGTTCTTTCAGCTCTCTCCGGGGCGGCCGGGAACTCCAGGTTCCTGCCTGTTGAGATGCTTTCGGACACGCTCAGGAAGGCCTCTGCTGTGCGCACTGTGGGCTGTGTCTGACCTGGGCTCCCTCTAAGGGTCTTCGTCTCCGGGGCTTAAGGTGGGGCTGGCAGCCATCTTCACGGTGTGACAGCCTCTGAGCAGCCTGGACACCCCAAGGCTCTTCAATTGTGTGCTTCTATCATCTTGAGGGTGGGAATGGCAAGGCCACCATCTGGGGAAAGTCGCGGGAAGACAATATCCAGGGCAGTGTATTTTCCCACATTCTAGTTGGACCGGTGCCCAGTCCCATTGATAGAAACTCAATATTGCAAACCTCAGCCTGGAAATTCATAAGGGTCAGAGTGAAGGCAGATAGATTTCATATATGGAGCCAGTAGTGCAATAGAGACCCAGAATAGATAAGGACAGGAAAAACTATCATCGAATCTGGGCGTGGTCAGGTACCTAGGAGACACTAGCTGTGGGGAAACAAGTTAGCCCTGTGCTGGGGGCTCCTGGCAGAGCCCAGGGCTACCCTACTTGGGTCTGTGTTTTCGTCTATAAATGAAGGCACAGAATTGCATTTCTTTGGAAAAGGAATCCAGGCCAGGCCTGCTACATTTTTTCTTCGAGTCTCCTGTGCTTTCCCCTCCTACAACCCTGCACTGTCCTAGGATTTTCTCCTCCGAAATCTCCCCACCAGGGACACCCCAGCCAGCCCGGCATTCCCTCTGCTCCTGCCTCTAACTCTGGGGACACAGGCAGGGGTGGAAACAAAGCAGGAAGCGGGGGTGGATACACACTCCATGAAGCCCCAGGGCCCTAATCTCCCCAAGAAGCCCCCATCACTGAATGCTCCATCCTCCTGCGGTGAGACCTCAGCCCTCTCCTCTACTGACCCCGCCCTGCCCTCCTGGTACCCATGTGGCTCCTGCTTCAGCCTGGCTCACAAGGCTGCGAGGACATGTGTCCTCCCTGCAAAGCCGGTGACTAACCACTGGTCTCTAACACTGTTCCCTTTAAGGACCAGGAGCTCCCATTTCTCCACAGTCCCAGCCTCACCCCATCTCTCCCTTGCCCTGTCCTGTTCCTGTTGGTTTCTCATGTAGCACAATTAACCAGGTTTGTTTCATGTCCCCCTTCCCAATCCAGACCTGTGGGCTCACCCCCATCCCCAAGGGCCTACCCACCTGCCCAGGTATATGTGCAAACCTAGCAGGGCCATCCCTAGAGGCACGTGGGGGGCTGCTGGTGTGGGGAGGGTCTCCCCCGCTCAGGGACCAGGGCAGAGGAGTGAGACGCCTGCAGCCCTTGCACCACAGACCCCTCACCTGTCCCTCCACCTCTAGCCCAGTGGAAGAAGCCCTTTGATCCCAGCCATACTTATAAGTCAGAGTTCCACGTGAACGAGAACAGGACAGTGGAGGTGCCCATGATGACCACTGGGGGCCTGGAAACGCCTTACTTCCGGGATGAGGAGCTGCCTGCACCGCGGTGGAGCTCAGGTGCACCAGCGACGGCAGTGCGCCCTTCATCCTCCCTGACGAGGGCAAAATGCACGACCTGGAGGCCAAGCTGCTCCCAGAGACGCTGAGGAGGTGGAGAGACTCCCTGCAGCCCAGGTGACTGTCCCCAGGACCCGGAGCTGTGGGCCCACCTGCCTTCTCGGCCCTTCCCCCTCTTCCAGGACTCCGGACCCGCAGCCCCCGGGCCTCAGTAATGTCCAGGGGCGGGGGCAGAGGTGGGAGGGCCCATCCAGGGGTGACCTTGCCCTTGGCTGCCTGCGTGGCTCTGGGCCTGAGCTGTTCCTTCTCTAAGATGATGACATCAGAGGGGGCGGGGCTGAGGGTTCCTCTGACACTGACATGCGCTGAGTCATGAGGATCTTCACACAACCCCAGGACACTCACGCTGTTCTCTCCGTGGCCCCACCTTTTGCAGGTGGAGGGGGGCAGATGGGACTGGGATCAGTTGGGGGCTCAGGTGAGACAGACGTGAGCATCAGCTTTGCACGGGCTAAACATTAATTCACTCATTTATTCATTCAACCATTCAGCACTGATTGAATGAATTAATTAAGATCAAGCTATGTCTGAGGGACTAATTTAGACTCTGAGGGTAGGTCAGCGAATAAAACAGTAAATTCCCTGCCCTAATGGCGCTTACTTTGTAGTTGGAGGAGACAGACAGGAAATAAATATAGTAAATTATTTGGTACTTTGAGAGGGGAGAAATGGGGAGGTGGGGATAGTAAAGCACAGTAAAATCTTGAAAAAAATGGGACCCGCAAGTAGCTTGTGATTGTAAGCAGGGTGGCCCTTAGGTGATATTTGAGGTGAGGGTTTGAGCGATGTGAATATGGTGGGGAAAACATTCCTGGCTGATGGAACAGCCAGTGCAAAACCTGTTTAGACAGGATGGAGCCTGGTGTGGTTGACGGTTAGTGAGGCCAGAGCAGCAGAGCAGAGGGAGTGAGAGGGAAAGTTGGGAGAGGTCAGGACCCCAGGGGGGATTCAGGTCACTTGGAGCCTTGCAGACCCCTCGACGCGCCCCCCTCTAAGGGAAATAGAGACTCATCACAAGGTTTTGGGCCAAAGAGTGAACGATCTGAGTCATGTTTTAAACGGATCACCCAGGTCATCCAGTGGAGGACAGACAGCCGAGGACCAGCATGGAGGCAGGGAGGCCAGCCGGGCGCCCAGTGCACTCACCCAGGGGAGCCGCTGGGGATGCACCAGGAGGAACCAGGAAGGGTGGAAGGGGTCGGGCTCTGGATAAACTGAGCGCAGACACACAGGCCAGGATGTGGAATTCAGGAGACCAATAACAAGGGGGACGGCAGAGGGAGAGGCACTTGTGGGCGCAGTGTCTGCTGCGGGGGAGATAGGGAAGCTTGTGGGCAGCTATGCAGATCCTAGGGGCAGCGGGTGTGGGAAGTACGTTATAAACCGCAAAGAATGAGAGACCTGCCTAGACGTGACATTGAGGCTGCAGTCCCTTCCCCAACCCCTGTCCAGGGGACCGGGCGCCTTGGGGCTGCCTGACTCTCAGCCCCTCCTCACTGCAGATCCCAGGAGACTCCAGGACACGGGACCCACCCTCCCCCTGCATGTACTCCCTTCCCAACCCTTTCCTTCCTCCAGTACCAAGAGCTACCACAGGGCGGGGGCTCAGTGAATAGTTGTAAATGGATAGAATATTCATCAGACATCTTTGATTTACCAGCACTGGGGGAACCAGCATCTACACGCCCCTGGCCCATGGAGGGCGCCCACTAAGAATCTGTTGAATGAATGGATAAAGGAGGGGGGAGGGAGGGAGGGAGGGAGGAAAGATGGCCTATGAGGAGGAATAGTACCTCCCTGCTCCCAAGGCACTCAACGTTTAATGGGAGCCACAGCCTCCTCGTATTTAGCATCTGTAAGAGCTGACACCATGACAAGAGTCTTAAGGGAAATAGAGACAGAGAGAGAGGAGGCCTAGGGGTGGGAGACAACATCTGTTGTCCAAGAACCTGCTGCCACCTCTGCTCAGAAGCAGATGCATCCCTGCCCTCAAGGAGCTCAATGGGAAGACAAGATAGAGATGTTGGATTGGTTGAATCAGGTCCCCAAGGCCCTTGAATGCAGCCCCCAGTCCTCCACGTCCCGCACAAGCCCCTTCCCGGCCCCTCCCCTCCCCACTGCCCGCACTCAGGCTGCCTCTGTGCTGTGGGGCAGCCCTTCTTTCTTCCCTCTTTCCTGCAAGTGCATCCTCCTGCCTCCTGGACTCCTCTTCACCCAGTCAGCTCCGTCCCCTCCTCCGAGACTCAGGGTCCATGCCACCTCCTGCAGGAAGCCTTCCGGGTGCCCTTGGAGCAGCTGCCCCAGCACAGTCTCCCAGCTGCTGGAGTTAGGGTGTTTCCTGCACCCTACAGGCTTGCAGGGGTGAAGCAGGGCCAGGTGTGGTGCTGGTGCACTGCCTGGCATTTTAGACTCCTGCCGATGGGAATGCATAATTCACAGTTTAAGGAGAGTAAGCAGGAGGGGTAAAAAAATGTGGAAAAGAGTCCGTATTTCCAGCGAGAAGCGGGTGGTTGGAGCGGAAACCAAGGAAGACCACGCCGAGACATGGGAGGAGGGCAGGCTCTGAGTCCAGCAGACGTTCAGGTTTATTTTTCTCACTTCCTAGAACAAGAGTTCACCCCCTCCTTCCAAAGTTTTCCATCTCCAGCGATTATGATCTGCAAGACTTCCTTCCCCAGATGGGCATGGGGAAAGTCTTCCCCCCGGCAGCTGGCCAGTCAGGCATTAAAGATGCAGAGGCGCTGGTGGTTTCCCAGGTGGGTGTTTAAACTTTGGACAATTCATCTCCACATGGGAGCTTGAATGGTGAAGGCCAGCCAGACTTTTGGGTAAACTTGAATGAGTAAAATGACTGTATTTCTCTTTACTTAGTCACCTTCCCTGGACTCCTCAGAAGGGCTTGGTTACAACCATCCTGGGGGTGGTCCCACCTTCCCTGCAACATATTGTGACATGGAAGCCCATCTAGCGGGAGGGCCTGGGGTGGAATCAGCTGTGAACCCCCGTCTCATGCTCCAACTTTTACTGCCTCTGCGATAAATAATTCAAGTCCTGTACCCCTCACTTTCTTCATCTTTAAAACGAGCATTGTAGTTCTTGGCTCATGTGCTATGCCTAGCAGAGCAGGTAAGAGGTAATAGGCACTAACAACGGCTACAGGGCCATCGTGATGGAAATACGCTAAGAGCACAACGCAAGAATACCAGAGGCCCTGGTACTGTGATCCTAGAAGCAGAGAAGTCAGAGTGAATGGGGGCGGCTGGGCAGCCCTGCAGTCTCCCCTGCACCCCACCTGCCAAAGGACCGGGTAAAGGAGGCGCATGTGCCAAGGGGCCTGCGGGGTCCAGGGATGGGAAGCCATTTCCTATGCAAAGTAACTGAGCGCTAGGGCAGGAGAGGAGCAGAAAGCAGTGTCCACTCATCTGCTACTTCGACATGGAGGGACTGTGGACAGTTGCCTGTGCCTGTGACAGTTGCCCCCTCCCCTAAAATGGGGGGTGTTTTGGACTCAGACAGAGGGCGATCCAGATCAGGGAACCCCTGCTCTTTTCCTCTCTGACCCTGGGCCCAGCACTCACAGCCTTTGACTGCACTTTGCACATCTGTGCATCACGACTATGCAAACCAGCTGACAGGTTTGTTGGAAGAAACAAACAAGTTGAACAGGTTGCCAGCACAGTGATGGCCAGCAGCAGAAGGTGGATGAATGTCAGTCCCCTTAGAGGCACTCAGGCAGCTGCTCACCTCCCACCCACCTCGTCTCTGGTGGGTAATGCTCTGGGGCCCCCCTGGTGGTCCGCAGCGCTGTGCTTGACGTGGGCAAGGAGGGCATGGAAGGAGCTGCTGCCATGGGAAGCAACTTGATCTACAAAACTGGAGAAGTGATCACTATGCATTTCAACAGGCCCTTTATGTTTCCCACACTCAGTAAAGACACTGAGCATCATCTTTTTGGGCAAAGTCACCAACCCCAGTCAAGCCTAGAGCTCTCCACTGAGTAGCAGGTCCCCTCACTAAGGAGCTGGGTGCCCAGCTCCCTGGGGGCAGCCTGGTCCCTGTGACCCGAGGATCCCCCTGTCTGGTCCCACCTGCTCACCCTTGTGAAGGTGACAGTGACTCTGCTGGGGGTTTCACATGCCCAGGGAGTCTGTGTCCTGGTTAGAAGGAGGCTCTGAGCCCTACAACAGCAATAAACCACCTTCCTTGGACTGGACTCTTTTCTGTGTGTCTCCATGCTGATCTGCCTGACTCCATGCTCCTGCCACTGCCTGGGCCCCAAGGCCAAGCCCCCCGACCTCCCACACACGCTCAGCCCACCCCAGAGTCTGGGCCCCTCTATCTCAGCCTCACCAGCCAGCCCAGGAGCAGGCTTTGTGCTTGTGACCAAGCCCACTGGACCTCAGGCCCAGGGCTGGGAGGGGCCCCTGCTGCCTGATGCCCACTTCTGGGCACTATGGCCCTAGGTGCAGGTTCACTCTTCCATCCCCCAGGGCCCAGGATGTGCCCTCGTGCTGACATTGCAGGGGCTCCGACCCTCACCTCTTCTGGCACAGCCCCTGGACCCCTCACTCCTGCAGCTGAGCTGGGCCTCCACCCAGGATCTCCCCTGCTGCCCCCCAGCACCTCAACCTGGGAGACCAACTACTTCCAGGTTCCCAGACGAGCTACTCCACCACCTGACGAGTTCCACATACTTCCCTGACAGAGGATCCCCTCAGCAGCCAGAATGGGGGTATGGGAGCAAAAGGTCAATAAACACACACCTGCAATAAAAGGAACGCACTTGGTTCTTCATCCCCCTGATGTGATAGGGGGCTGTGTCATCTCCAGGAAGATCAGCTCCTGGCATAGATGATGACGTCACCCACAACTGAACGGTTGAGATCTCTCTGCCAGGCAGCCTGCTCAGACCTCTACCTGGAATAACCCATTTAGTCCTTGAAATGATCACATGAGATACTTGCTGTTACTCATCCCATTTCACCACTGAGGAAACTGAGGAACAGAGAGGCTCAGTCATTTTCCCCAAGGCCACACAGCTACTAATTATTGCCGGCAGGATGTTATCCCAACCTCCTGGATCAGAGGAACTCTCTAAACCACAGAATGAATCTGCCCTCAAAGATTTTCACAGCAGTGACCCTTATGGGACTTAGGAACTGGTGCAAAACATGGATGATGAAACAAGGCTCTGGAGGCTGATAGGAGAGGATCAAACTCAGCCTGGGAAGTCGGCGAGCCATTCCTGGAGGAGGTGCTTTTTGTGCTGCCATCAGAGGAAGAATAAAATGCGGTAGGGTAAACAGAGAGGAGAATGTCCTTGGCAGGAGAAAGACATTTTCAAGAAACCGAAGGAAGCTGGGCAGACCCGGAGCAGGAAGCGGAGGGCCTGCAGAGGTGATGGGGCCATGATGGAACCGCTGGACCACTGGGGGCCTGGCAGCTCAGTAAGGATGCTGGAAAGGTTCCATAGAGTCCTAGGCAGCTTTAAAGGAATTTAAACAGCGAGTCTCTCTGAGCAGATTGGCATAGTAGAAAAATGACTCCAGCTGCTGTGTAGAGAAGCAATTCAGGGCCAGGACAGGGATGCAGGCTGGACATTAAAGGGGATGCTGCAGGAAATGGGGCCAAAGCCCAGGATGGAGAAGGAGAGCAGGGATGAGTGGAAGGCTGTGAAGAGAACCCATGTTTCTGTGAGTGGACGTGGGGAAGAAGGGCAAATAACCCGCATCTGGGTTTGGCTCCTGGGAGATGACAGAGCATCCCCTGAGGAAGGAACCCCAGCAGGAGGAGCATGTTGGGAAGAGGGCAGGGGACACCCTCATATTCAGATCCCAGATATGTGGTTCCCTGGAGGCAGCCAAGGGATCTGGTCAGGGGAGTTCAGCAGAGAATCAGGGCTGGAGGGAAGCATGAGTATTCGTCCCCCAGGATGGGCAGGTGAGCGCTGAGGGGAGGAGGTCCCCTAAGCTGAATGCCATGGGGTGAGAAGGGAAGGGCACCCAGTAGAGGGGTCACTGAGGAGAAGGAACAGAGTGGGGAGGACGGAGGGGCATGGGAGGAAAGCTCTCACCCCAGGACCACAGAAGAGGTACCCAGGGGACAGCAGAGGGGACTTAGGGGTAGGGGAAGGATCAATGGTCCATGGGATGCAGTGATCTAAAGCCACAGGGGATGGGGCAAGGGCAGGGTGAACAGAATGAGAGGAGGCCTGCTCTGGGCTGCAGGGGGAGGGAGGGAGAGCGAGAGGGGGTGCAGATGGCCTTTCTGGAGTTTAGCCTTCAGGGTGGTGAGATCTGGGCTGGAGTTGGCTTGTGTGCTTTAAAGACCCTGTAACCTTGGGCCCATTTGTGTGACCTTAGGAAAGATTCAGGAGGTGGGGCGACAGACACCAGAGCTGCAGCGTGGCCCAAGTCCTAAGGGACAGCTAATAGAGGTGACTTGACCGCATCCCTAACATGGGGCTGCACACCCAGCAGGGACGCTGCATGTGATTATCTAGTTTCCCAAATCCAGTTTTTGAAGAGAATATCTTTTCCCCATTGATTGGTGTTTTGATCCCTAGTCAAATATTAATTGACTGTATGTGCAAGAGTCAACTTCTGGGCTCTTTATTCTGTTCCTTTCATCTATGTGAATATTTATGCCAGTACCATACTGTTTGATTACTATAGCTTTGTCATACAGTTTGAAATCAGGAAATGGGATGCCTCCAGCTTTGTTATTTTTTCAGAGGTTTGCTTTGGAAAATTGCAAATATGTGGGGATTGAACACACCCCGAGGTGAAGACAAATGTCAATGTCACCTTTGGAGAGAACTGAGAGCAGGCAGGGGGTCACCCTTTTGGCAGCCCATGGGAATGTGGAGTCTACACTCTGCACATCAAGCCTGGCTCCATAACCTACTCCTGATGTCCTTTATTACCTGTGTGACCCTGAGGGGGCTGAGACCCTGACCACCCTGAGCTTCTGTCTCCTTGTTTGTAAAATGGGGATGAATATTTTACAATAGTGTAATAGTATTATGATATGTAAATACTACTGCTCTCCGTGGTCTCGTCAGCCTCTCTGGAAGGTGGTTAATTTTAGAGGAAAATATGTATCACTGTGGTACAAGCTGCTCTGAAGGTAGGTGTGGATCTGAAGGCGAGGCTCTGCCAGGCTTTCAGATCTGGGGCAAGTTACCTAATTTTTGTGCCTCAGTTTTCTTACCTCTTAATGGACACAACAGTCTACCTTGTTGGGATGTGAAGATAATTCAATAAAAATTAATAATGTCCCATGCCTGGTCATGATAATAAAGCCTTCATATTTAGATTGTGTGTGCATGTGTAAACACTTACATATAACACACGACAAGTGTTCATAGATGTGTATCTGAGTAATGCCTTACTGGCTCAGGAAATAACTTTTCTTCTTTAAGAAATAATCTGTCGGGCTTCCCTGGTGGCGCAGTGGTTGAGAGTCCGCCTGCCGATGCAGGGGACACGGGTTCGTGTCCCGGTCCGAGAAGATCCCACATGCCGCGGAGCGGCTGGGCCCGTGAGCCATGGCCGCTGAGCCTGCGCGTCCGGAGTCTGTGCTCCGCAACGGGAGAGGCCACAACAGTGAGAGACCCGCGTACTGCAAAAAAATAAAAATAAAAAAAATAAAGAAATAATCTGTCTGTTCATCTGTATAATAGGACCATTAATTTTAGCCTTATCAGCTTCAAACGGATGAGAAGGTCAAAAGAGACTGTGGCTGTCAAAACCACTTGAGACCCACAGAGCACTGTACAAATGTGAGGAGAACGAATTCAATGCTGAATTAAGAGCATGATTAAGGAGGGAAGCATACAATCCTCTTGGCTCTTTTAGAGGAAATAAAAGACCTTGAGGCTTTGGGATTCTTCCTGTTCTAACCTGTGCCTCCTGGGACCTGCCAGAGGAAGGGGACTCATGCCCCTTAATTTAGTGCTTGCTTCCAGAGTTACTTCAAGTGGCGATCACAGCCCTCCTGCAGAAGAATCACCAGAGAGGGGAAGGAAGGAGAGCTTAAATACAGTGTCGCTGACTTCCCCCTGCCCTAAATCAGAGTCTCCTGGGGTAAGTGCAGGATTTTAAACAATCTCCCCGGGCAGTTGTCATGCACACTGAAGGTGCAAAATACTTCTTTGAAAGAAACTCAATAAGTAGCAATAAAATGGGATAGATGATGAGCTCCCCATCACTGGAGGTGTACAAGCAGGTACATCAAGGATTCAGTGGGCAGAAATTATTGATTGCCTCCTATGTCTAAGTCAGCAAGGGAGGCTTCTCAGATGCTGTGGAAAGTAAGGTTGTGATGTATTGCAGCCCTGATTCCGAGATGGAGATTCCACATTGGATATATGTTCTCTCACCTCTGAGGAGCACGTGATTCTCCAGGACTGCTGTAGTGTCATCCCGAGCTCTTCCACGCAGGCCTCGAACTTCCCCTGGATCTGCCTCTGCATGCTTGTGGATGCTTTTCTGGGCCTCCACCTGTTACTGCGTGGCCTCCAGGGGCCCGGGCTGTTAAATGTGCACCGGCCCACGGTCAGGGTATCTGAGCAGCAGATCCTGGAAGCCCTTCTGGATCTGGGCCTCGGACCCCACGTTGAGGTTGAACCAGGCCCTCCAAGAGGTGGGTTCTGCTGGGTGTTGGGGCCCTGAGGAAGAACACGTCCAAGACCAAAGAGATTACTGGGGAGAAGGGAGTGTTCTGTCCAGAGGCACCCAAAGCCAAATGTCTGTAGAGGCTGAAGGCAAAGCCTACGTTGCTCTTGGAGATTTTGGGGCAGTCCAAGGCTGTCCTGGGGGCTGGAGTTGGTGAGATCAGAATCTTCTTGGTTAACCAGGGCCAGACAGTGAGCCACAGCCATGAACACGGTGATCAGCAGCCACCACCGACCGATCTCCATCCTCGGGGCTCCTTGGTCTGGAAACAGGGGCAGGAAAGGACAACAACAATGACAAAAGCAATAGTAATAAGTGATATTACTAATTCTCAGAGTGTCTGCTCTGTGCCAGGCACTGTGCAAATGCTTCAGGGTCATGACTTCTTTTTTAAAATTAATTAAACTTTTTATTTTATATTAGAGTACAATTGATTAACAATATTTTAGTTTCAGGTGTACAATAAAGTGATTCAGTTATACATATACATGTATCTATTCTTTTTCAAATTCTTCTCCCGATCTACAGAATATTTTTTTCATCCTCACCACAGCCCAGTGAGGAAGGAAGGCACTGTTTTCACATCCCCATTTGAGAGAGAAGAAAACAGAGGCTTGGGAAGGTGAGGGAGCTGCCCAAGGTCAAGCAGCTGGTAGGTGGTGGAGTCAGGACTGAACCCAGGGCCTGGTGGGGGGCGGATTCATGACCAGATGAGCGGATCATCCAGCAGACAGCCTGTCTGAACAGAAGCGCCTGTACCTTGTGCACCTGCTGCGAGCGCCTGACACAAGCCAAGGACTGCTGGCAGCCAGCAGTATCTGTAAGAGGCACAGAGTGGAATCCGCCCTACAGAATGTGTTTTTTTGTTTGTTTGTTTGTTTGTTTTGTTTTGTTTTTTTTGCGGTACGCGGGCCTCTCACCATTGTGGCCTCTCCCGTTGCGGAGAACAGGCTTCGGACGCGCAGGCTCAGCGGCCATGGCTCACGGGCCCAGCCGCTCCGCAGCACGTGGGATCCTCCCAGAGCGGGGCATGAACCCATGTCCCCTGCATCGGCAGGCGGACCCTCAACCACTGCGCCACCAGGGAAGCCCCGCACTAGATTTTTTTAGGTAGAATTGTGAAGGACAAGGGGTCTATCTCCCTACACTGGTTGTGTTGAGCCTCTAGGAGGTTCCTGGGACAGACCTTAGTTCTCTGGTTTTCCTGCTCTAGCTCAGCCCCAGGGACAGGCAGACTCAGCTTGGCTAGTCAGAGAGTCTAAGTCAGCCCTCCCTCCAGGGGCCCCTGTGGACCAAGGTCTTCCCAGGATCCTCTACGTCCCAGCATCTCCCAGGACCCTTGGACTCTGGTCTCCAGGTGCTTGTCTACCCATGAGACAGGAAACCTCCCACTTGTTGTTCCTGCAGGTCCCCTGCAGCTCAAGGCCCCATCAGTGTGCGATACAACTTGATTACTAGCTATTGATTAACATCTTTCTTCCATGACTTGTCAACCATTTTTTTTCTCTAGGCTTCTTATCAGCAACATTTAAATGTGCTCACTTTTCACTCAACTTTCAGTTTTCAAAAATATATGTCTTCCTCTCTTTTCCCCTCCAGCTCCCCCTTGTTTCTCTCTGTCTCCCCTTGTTGTACCCCTGTGCACCACTGATTCTCGTCGAACCTCTACAGTCTGCTTCCTCCCCCCATGTCTCAACTGCCATTGCTCCTGTGAGCCGCCAAAGACCCCAGTTGGTAGGTCCAGCCTATCCTGTGGACACTGTCCTTTCCTCTCTCCCCACGTGTCCCCTCTTCCTAGTCCTTCTCTGTCTCTTTGGGTGTCCTCTCTTCCTTTTCCTTGCCCCCTAAGTGTGGTCATTCCTGATGACGGGGTCCCAGGCTCCCCTCTCTACACGCTCTCACCAGGAGGGAGTCCTCACCAGGAAGTCTCGTCTCTCCTCTGCATTAGCAGATTTCCAGGCCCTGCTCAGATTTCCTTGCTGAATGCCAGATCTGTAGAAGCAAATGCTCACTGTTCTTTTCGTCACGGATGCCAGCCAGGCATCTCAGGTCTATATGGGAGCTCAGCCTCTTGCTCACAAATCACCGTCCTCTCCCTACGTTACCCATCTCTCCAAATGGCTCCCTCCAGTTTCTTTAGCTCCCAAGCTGGCAACCTGAATGTCACCTTTACTACAGACTGTCCTTATTTCTTCATGAATACTTGATTACTCAGTCCAATCCATGGTACCTCCTAACCGTGTCTCAAAATGTCCCTTTTTCTCTACCTTCACATCTATATCCCCTGTCGGTCTACTACCCTCTTCTCCTTAATTCCTACGGTTGTCTCCTGACTATGTTCCGTTCCATTTAGGCAGAGCCGTGTTGAATCGTGCAAAGAAAGCACTGGGTCCAAGGAAGTGGGTGGATTGCAGCCAAGAGGACTCAACGTTAACCATTTTACTAGCTGCCATGTTTTTATAGAGCTTCACACACAGATGACGGAGGTTCAGGGAGCACAAAGCAGCTCCCAGGATCACTTAGCATTCCAGAACTCAGCTGGGCTTGGAGCCCTGATGTCCTGACTCTCCTGTTCTCTGCACCTTAGCTGGGCAACTCCCTCCTCTGCAGGGAATTCTAGACTTTCTTAATGTTGCAGTACCTCACATAGACCACCAAGGCACCCCATGGATCACACAGATCTGGGCTTAATTAAACTTGCTGAGTGGTAGGGACGATCACTTTGACAGCATCTCAGTAATGTTTCAAACGGGGAAGTTAGGAGAAATAAAAGGTTCCATTGGCTGGACTCAGTTCACAGTGGCTTTAGCGTGATAGTTAGAAAGTGTGGTCAGATTTTATAAACTAGATGAGAAGCCAAGGCTCTTATCTTTATAGTCCGTGAGTCTGTGCAGTGTCACTCTTAAAACAGCTTGCTGTGGGCTTATCTTGGGACACATGGGTCTGAACAAGCTGCTGTTAATAAATTCTGGACTTAGAGAGTACCTGTTGGGTATGGCATATCTGTTTTGCGAGTCCTGGTACAGTTTTCTTTGCAAATTGTGATTTCACTTTCATTGCTTATTAGGATTGACAGCTCTGCTCAGAAAGAGGATGCTCTGGACGTCTGGGCAATGGATGGGGCTGTTGAAATGCACAATGGTCGATTAAGTCCTCCTTGCAGAGGAGTGAATCTTGATACCCATGGTGGCAACTGCTTCAGTGTGCTTCCTCAGCCGTCTCAACCCCAACCCTCATGCAGCACCATGGGGCCAGTAGAAGTTCACACACTTAGATATCAGAGCAGATGTCTGGTGTGGCCCGGAGGGTGGGCAGTGCGGTGGGGCTGTGGAACCCAGCCTTTGACATATGGTAATAGTAGTATTATAGCAGTTGTAACTAATGGTCTTTTAGAGAAGATGCTCTCTGGTCGTTTAAGTGCCAAGGTAGTTAACAATGTCAGGTAATTTTTTTTTTTTTTTTTTTTTTTGCGGTACACGGGCCTCTCACTGTTGTGGCCTCTCACTGTTGTGGCCTCTCCCGCTGCGGAGCACAGGCTCCAGATGCGCAGGCTCAGCGGCCGTGGCTCATGGGCCCAGCCGCTCCGCGGCATGTGGGATCTTCCCGGACCGGGGCACGAACCCGCGTCCCCTGCATCGGTAGGTGGACTCTCAACCACTGCGCCACCAGGGAAACCCCAATGTCAGGTAATTTGGCCAAGGCTGTGTTACCATTAAGTGTCAAGCCAAGCCTGCTGAAGCCTGCTGACTCCAAAGTCACCATGGATAACGGCATGGCAGGAGGAAATACAGCAATATACAAATCACCCTGTGTGTTCAAACTCAAGGTACGCTAGCCTATTCAAACTCGAGGTACCATCTTGTTTCCAGATAACTCTATCTTTCCCCATCAGCCTCTCCTGTCATCACTCCTGATCTCCTCAGCCTGAAACATAAAAATCCCATCATTTGAACGACTCCCTGGTCATTATTTTCAATAGAATCATTTTTCCTTTGTGCTGGCCACTCATGTTTCCTCCATCCCTGTACCTAGGCGGGATCTTTGACTACCATACCATCCAGCAGTCTGCCCTCTTTTTGTCTATGTCTGGACTGTGGAGATACCTGAAAACCACACCCCTACACAGGTCAGTGACCTGTCCTCCAGTCCCCTAGGGACCCCACTCATGCCTGCTAGAACTTTGAGGTTTCCCAATGTCTTCTTGTCTCCCCTGTCCTAGACTTCTGATCCTTTTGATTCCCCAAGATGGATTCAGTAGATAACATCTCTCTGCAGCACAGGGAAAATAGGAGTCATTTGAGACAAGCTCCCTCACCTTTTGGCCACATGCTTAGAGCCACGCTCTCATCCTCTTGTCCTCTCTCTAGGGTGGAATATGTGCCACGCTTCTGGTCAAAGGGCGCCGCCTCTTGTGCTCAGCATCCCTTCCATCCCCATCTCACCATCTCTGATTAATTTCTTCTATCTGTTATCTTCAACTTCTTTTTCTTTGTGACTTTTATTATTTGAACATGCTCAAGTCTTTCATTTTTTAAAAACTGGAATGAAAATCCTCACTTTGTCCTAAATGATTCTCAAGGTCTCCTTTCTCCAATTTCCTGCCTCTGATGTCAAATTGCTATGGAGCGAGGCTGACATGGTGGACTCCCATAACTGACCCTTCATCTGCCCACCCCTACCACCAGTTCCTGCTTTCATCCTCCACTGTGATTTTTCTCGCCAAGGCCACCAATGGATCACTGGTGGACCATCCCCAAGGGACACTCTTCATCCTTCTCCTCCTTGCCTGCCTAGCCTTGTCCCATGCTGTGACCACATCTTCATTTGGCCATCAAGAGACCACACCTTTCCTCTTCCTACTCCTCTGCTGTCTCTTCAGAGGGCTTCCTGTGGTCCCCGAATTCCCTTACATCTTGGCTTTTGGCTAAGTTTGGCTCCAGGCTCTCAGCACCATCCATGATGTCTAAGGTACCTGTCTCACCTCAACCACCGACGCACAATGAAATCCACCTCTCCAGCTCAAATTTTCCTACTGAGCGGGGGACCTTCAAGATGGCAGAGGAGTAAGACGTGGAGATTACCTCCCTCTCCACAAATACATCAAAAATACATCCACATGTGGAACAACTCCTACAGAACACCTACTGAATGTTGGCAGAAGACCTCAGACTTCCCAAAAGGCAAGAAACTCCCCATGTACCTGGGTAGGACAAAAGAAAAAACAGAGACAAAAGAATAGGGATGG